ATTCACTTCATAGTTGTTTTTCAGAATAAAGTGCTTTGCTGTCCTGTAGAAAAATTACTGTGCAGACTGGCTGCTGCATTACGCCCACAAAATACACAATCAATCCACTTTACAGTATATTCTGTGAAGCGCTTTGAAACATCTCAATGACATGATAGGAGCTATAACAAATGCAAGGATTATTATTATTAAATTTCTACAGTTCGGTTGTCACAACAACTGACTGGTTAGGCCTAGTGGAGCACAGGGAGCAGATCAGCTATCCAACCTCTTCCATAGTCATCCATTATCCCAGGGAGACCAGATACAAAGGAAAAAATGAAAATAACTCAGTAGAGGGGAAGGAGAATCTGTGGGGGCCTCGCAAAAGGGCAAACAAAAATTAATATATCATGACAATTCAGTTCCTCTAACCAGATATGTTTTTTNAAAAATAAAACACAAGTCTATTGAATTCCATTATCAAAATGGTATTCCATAAGGAATGTATTGAAAACTTATCATCTTAAATGTCAGTCGGTTATAGAGACAGGAGTACCTTAAGAACTAAAAAAAATCCAGTGTCTGCGCCAAATTCGGAGACTTAGCAAAACAAAGTGCATTTTTCAACAGACAGCAAAGCACTTTATTGCCAAAAGATGGGGCTCGTTTACCCACTAAGTAAGACAAAGTGTGACTATAATAAAATGCTGAGAAGGCAAAAATCTGAAATATTGTATATGTTTTATCAAGTATGCAACTCTTTGGAATATTAAACTGCCACTGGATAAACTAAATATTGATTTGTCCAGTAAATTATCAAATACAATGGGCTGAAAATTGATTTATTTTAACCAATTTGATGGATTGAGTTAAGGTACTTCAGTGTCCATTGAGAACCATGGCCCTTTGTGATTCACAACTATAGCAGCCACTGGGTCAACAAGAATGGTGGTACGGACAAACTGATTTCACCCCCCAACCCACCATGAAGAGCTTTGAGACATCTTAACGATGTGATAAGGCACTATATCAAATGCAAGGATTATTATTAATATATCATAGAAATTACAGCATGGGAGGAGGCCATTCAGGCTAAAATGGTGGTAGCCTTGAAACACTGGAACTAACCATTCCAATCTCAATTCTCTGTTCTTTCCCTAACCCTTTTATATTTTTCTTTAGGGTTTTATTAAATTCAATTTTAAATGGTATGGTCTCAGCATCAATCATCATTTATGGCAAAACAGTCCAGATTGCTATAACCATCTGTATGAAACCATTTCTTCTAACATTCTTTAACCTCTTCCAATAACTATCCTGAACATCATTATCCTGACTATCAATTTTCCAAGCTTAGTCTATCTTCTCAAACCTTTCTGATTGTTGAAGCCCTCTATTAGATCCCTTTCATTCTAACCCACCCACATTTTCAAGCTACTGTATTAATTATAATACTGGTATCAGCCTTTCCAGTAATAATAATCAATGTAGTGACAGAATGGATCTTAGAATAAAGCAGGTGATGAAATGCTGAGAGTCAATCAGAACCAGCAACATTGGTCTGAAAGACCATTTAATGTTCCTACATTCGTTTTGCTTCTATTATAACCATGATTGCCTGTTAGCTAACCTTTTTCCCCACCAAAAATAATCCTAGTTGGTGTGATTTGCCTAGGATATTTGGAAACTGCAGATTTTAATTAAGATTTTGTGTCAAATATTTTAAACCCAGCCTGTTTGTTTTGTGTTTCTCCTCGGCCTGAAAGCACTGACTCATCCTAGGGTGTGATGGTCACCTGAGGTGGAATTATCTGCTGACACTCATTGTATACCTTTTCAGATCAGGCTCCTTCGGACATTGCTGAATTAACTAGTTTCATGTGTTAGCCTAACAGTGAGAATCAGCAGATTATTCCACCTCTGGTGAGCATCAAAACCAAGATCAATCTTATCCTCACCTGACAGTCACACAAAGACTTTGCAGCATAAGCCACTGGATAAAACTCAAGGGCAGCAAGCCAGGATAACGTTCCTCTCACTAGTCCAAAAAAGCCAATTCCAAAATGCCTGTTGAACAGACTGAGCATCAAACCTGAGGCTTTCTTGGTCTGTGTGGTTCAGTTTTACATAAGACTGTAGCTTTAGCCACTGAGCCTTTAGGTCAATGACCTACTAAATCTGTTTTTAAATGTTTAAAATCTTCGTTATTTGTGGAACACATGTGGAAACCCATCACTATGCTTACGAGTATCCTAACCAAACTGAAAATTAAATTAATCTCACCTACATGTGGAAATTCCGCAGTTATTTATTCAAATGGAATGTACACTCTCTCTCTGGAGAGCATCCTGCTTACCTAATTCCTGAAATTATCAGGCATAGGTTGGCAAGAGCCAAGGCTTGGGGACCCCAGAATGTGCGTAGAGGTACTGCTGGATTCTAACCAGCTAAAACTGCAAAGTTTGCCATTGAGGACACTGTCTGGCAAGCTTTCTTACTGAGTGGGATGAGTGGGCCAGGAACTTGACTATCCCACGCAGGTTGACTTTATTCTGACATCCTTTTGACAAATATCCGTTTGACAAACAGTCCATCTCCAAGGAAAGCCTGTTTAACCCCCCCCCCCCCCCCCGTGGGATAGTCACTAGTTGGTCATTTGATATCTGACAAGTGCGGGTTTGAGCCCTCACAAGGCGGAATGCAGGAACGAAGAACTCTCACCTCAGAATGAAATGTGTGAGAGCATTGCCATCATCTTCCTGCCCACATCTCAGACACACATACCTTCCCATTGAGCAATGATTCCACCAGTTGGAGGTGCAGAGCCTGAGCAGCAGTTGCTTATTTTTCTGCAAGCCAATCAGGGTGGATCCCAAGCAGAGAACTGCAATTTTTTTTTAAAAAAACAATATATTTTATCAAAAACTAAGAGACAAATTAGAAAGGCCACACAAAAAGCTTGGGTTCCTATGTTGACAAATTGAATGTCCCATTTGACCTGGTGAGTGACATCTGGGAGGGTTAAAATATCATTGCAAATTGGCAGCTGCAGTGAAAGTATCCTAAAATCAAAAAAGGAGAGTATAGATGATAAATTGCTACTGTGGGTGGGGGGGGGAGGGGGAGAAATAAAAATGAGACACTGTGTGAGAGTATTTCCTAATCTCATTTCATTCACTAATCTAATATCATGAGATTTATGCAATTAATGTGGGCTGAAACATTAATAAATGGTTGTAATCCTCAATTGAAGCAAGCAGTCTTTATTTTAATAGTCACAAAGCTATGAATATGAACCTTGTATGCATTGTCAGACTAAAATAAATAACATCTATTTTGAAAGGCCTCTCTTTGGGGCTAAAGCCATAAATAACAGTCACAAGTCTTGAAAGTAAAAAATCTGTGACAAATTATAAGGAGAGGATCATCGGAAAATAAAGATCGAGGTCACTAATGTGATGAGCTGTACAAATGAATTAGATTTGAATTAGACCTTGAGGGCAGAACTAAAAGATACAGATTATAAAATTAAAAAGACTAACATGGGACAAGAGGGTAGAGAAATTGTTTGACGGAATGTATATGTGGAACAGCATTAAAAAATAACAAATGTAGCCCTAGTTAACTCCTTTATCATTGGATAAGTGTAAGCTTGAGAACATGTTTGGAAGATATAGAGATGGATGTAATGACTTCTATACTGCTTGAGGAGGTGTGTTATGGAGAGGTCAGATTTAGCGATGTGGAGATGGAGATGGAGCAAGTTCATGTTTCATTAGCTCTGCACCTCAGCAAAATTCTTCCATTCTTTTATGGATCTTCTGGGGGAAGAGCATTTAATGGTGATGTGGCCATCGAACCAAAAGTGACTTAACAATGTGATTAGTCCTACATTATTAATGCACCTGTAACCTTTTTTACGTTGTCTAGTTGCTTCATAAAATTGTGCTGGAGGGTTCAATTTGCGAGTTGTATAAAGTCTGGGTAAAAGTATAGCAAGCAATAAGTGTAAACACATGTTCAGAGGGAATCGCAGGTGCCAGTAGATATCTAATAACCAGTGAAAACATGTGGTACTTTTCATTAGTTACTAATTAAATGAGAGCACTTTAATTTTCTCAGGACAGGCCACATGATTTACACAACTTGCAAATTGGACCCCAGTGGTGTGCAAGATTCTGTCATATGCTACGATCACTGTAATATTTATTTGATTGAAAAAGGGGATCAGTGAAATACACACATGTGAATCACTGTGAAGCAGCAACAAAAACTTAAGAAAATACAATTCCAGCCGAGTGAACTGAGCTATACTTCATTGATGTAGCAGCAAAACAGTGATGCGTTCACTTTTGTCACTTCTGAATTCTATGGTCACCAGGGAATTATGAATGAGTTTTCACACACCTTGAAAATGTGTACAGTGCTGTACTGTTGATCAGCAGAGAGCAGAAGAGGTCATTTTGCTGAAAACCAAATTCAAAACTTAAAACTGTGAACCATATCCCAGAGATTTATGGATACACTTTACTAAACACAAACAGACTAGTCTCAAAATCGTGATGGCAGCTTTCTTCTCATACTGCTCCTTCTGTGTCACATCATGTATTTTAACATTATTGCACTTTAGTCTAATAATTAAAGCCTTGCCTTTCTCACTCACGCCTGCACATAAAGCATGTCAAGAAATAATAAATCAAAAAATTAATAGAGATAAAAGTGCTAACTTTGCCACAAGGCTTACCAGATTGGGCACAAAATAATGTCATTTTTCTTGCAGAATTAGCCAACAGTAATGATGTAGGGTTTGCACAATCTATTTGACTTGCGAAGGCTCTGAGACGCTCTCCTGTGTGAAGGGCGCTATATGCAAGTTGTTGGTGGTTACAAAGTCACTTGGAAAGTCAGAGTTCAAATTGGATCTGTACAAACTATGGCACATTCCAATTGTAGTTTGATGTGTTCAGTGTAAATCACTGTAATGTCTAACGTGTCAATTTATTTTCCCTTAAAAACAGAAGATTCTGGAATATATTTCCCATCAGTGAAAAGGGCTCCAAGCAAATATCTGGTCCGCTGCTCTGATTTGGTGAAGGACTGGTTAAGGAGGCTGAAGAATTCTGGGAAGGTTCTGCTTCTCATCACCAGCTCACACAGTGACTACTGCAGGCTGCTCTGTGAACACATTCTGGGGTAAGCAACAGCAAGTCCACAAAATCTCCTGTAACTGACTGAGAGCTAGCAATGACGGCTTTCGAATTGTCACGAACTCCACATCTATGAGTACTGGAGTAAAATGGTGAGTGAGCTTGAGCTCCAGCACATCCTTTCACAACAATAACAACTTGCATTTATATAACGCCCTTCACTTAGGGTAATGTGCTTTACGGGGACTGGGCTGGATGCTGAGCACGCGGAAGGTAGCCATAAGTCTGTTCGAATAGATAGGATTTGAGGTGAGAGGAAGTGACAAGAGGACAAGGCGGAGTAATAGAGTTAGGGAGATCCAGAGGTTAGGGAAGTAGGAACCAAAGGCTTGATCATCAATGGCAGTGGGGAGAGGCCAAGGGATGTGCAGCAAGCCCAAGTAAGCTGAGGGGAGGAGTAGCATAGGAGAAAGTCAGACAGACATACCAAGGAGTGGATGTACTTGTAGGCGAGGGAGAGGCTTGAAATCAATCGAAATGTTTCGATTAGTAATGAGTTTGTGAATTGTGGTTCTTTATACAAGGAATTAACCAACGCATGGGATAACATTCCACCTGGGACTAGATTTACACTATTAATATTTCGTTTTTGATATTTCAGAGTTGGTCAAAGTCTTAAATGCAGTCTTTAATTTTGAAACTGGTTTTCTTGTACGTTTGTTTTAAGAACTGGCCTTTCCCCGTTTGTTTACGGAGAAAACAGGTTTCAAAGTTAAAACTGAATTTGACAACTTGCCAAATTCTACACAATCCAAAATGCTATGTTAATAGAGTAAATCTATTTTTTATTGGTATGTTTCAATCGGGAAGCCACCCTGGACATCTTGTTATATAGTTCGGCTTTCTTCTCCTTTCGCATATTATCAACGTAGGTCTCTTCAACTTTTCAAAGGTCATTAACTGCAGTGATTAGTCTTTACTTACTCAGTCAGGTTTTAAATCACCTTCCTTTAATTCCTTCAAGGATTGAGTTAATTTCACATCGTACAGCAGACCATGTGATTTAATGGTACAAAGAGCATCAATAGTTCAATTAGTCGGGGCCATATGCCAACTAAAATAAAGTAAGGATTTTTAAAGATATAAATAGAATGTGCAACCAATGACTCCCACAGCTTATATCAACTGAATGTGAATAACAGTCTGTTATAGTATATTGTAATCACTGTGTATTAATGGAGAAGCCATGGAAATGTACAATAGATAAATTACTGCTAATAATAATCCTTGCATTTGATATAGCGCCTTATCACATCTTCAAGACGTCTCAAAACGTTTCACAGAATATACTGTAAAGTGAATTGATTCTATATTTTGTGAAATTAATCTCTGAACAAGATAATACGATAATATCACTGATGTGAAAGTATTAACATGTTGCACATTCCCAGAGTTTTTAATTCCATCATCTAAATTTACTTCGTTACTTTTCTCCCAAACCACTAGAATAGGTGGACGTGTCACCCATTTAAGTCTCATCTAACTGATGGCACTCAGTGCTCGTTTGATGATGAACTGGTGTGGACCTCAAAGCCACAAGTTTCTGACCCAGAAACAGGAGTGTGGCCAGCCTAGCCAAACTAACACTTACTTACCTTCTAACATACAGAATACAATACAAAATTACATTTGTAAAGTGCCTTTCATGTCGGGAGGATGTCCCAAGACACTGGGATGTTAACTATGAAAGTTAACCCAGTAATCTGGCTGTATTTATCTTTAGCTATAGACACTCTACCTACTACAACATACTCCCTCCCGATTAAGAGGAAATGACAATAACAGGAAATCTGGATGATCTGGAATTTTTTTTGTTGGGACTCAACCCAGATGTTCTTCCACTCTTGGCTCTTGGTGATTCTACAAAACGAAAACACGTGATAGAGATAGAACTCAGTTAGACATTCTGAAGCGGGAAGAAAAGTTTCTGTTTGTTCAAATGTTGTAAAGTGATAGAGGAAAGATACAGAAGAACCACAGAAATTTATGAAGAAGAAATATAGAAGGTGGCCATTTGGCCCATTATTTCTGAGCTCCCTCCCTCATGAGCAATTATTTCAGGCCCATTCACCTGCCCTTTCCTCATACCCCTGTAGCTAACTCACCTTCTGAGGATCTCAACACTGCATTACTCTCTTCATGTGGCAAGGCGTGAAAGGCGTTATACAAATTTAATTTGCTGTTGTTGGCAAGTGTCGTGACTCTTTTTGTAGGCAAATGCGACAGCCATTTTGCACACAGCCTAGTCCCACAAATGCCATTAGCTGAATGAGCAATTACTCTGGAGATTGCTGACCTTAGACACTGTGAGAAATCCTCTTCTCTTTTTGAATATCGTCATAGAATGTTTAAAGTCCACCTGAAGAAGAGGCAGACAAGACAAAGGTTTAATGTTTCACCCAAAACACAGTACCTCCAGGAATGCCGCCCTCCTCCAGTACTGCAGGATAGGGTCAGCTTAAACAGTGAGCTCAAGTGCTGACCTGCTTCTTGAACCCACAACCTTATGATTGGAGGAAGAAGAACCAAAAACATAACACATTTTCATCACAACCCTCAAGCTTCGCTTACAAAATATACAGTCACAACACTACTTTCATAGTAAAACCCTGTGAAGCACTTTGAGACATCTCGATGGTGTAAAAGGTGCTGTATCAAATGCAAGCAATATTATTTTATGGAGGTTCAGGTGATATGATGATGTGTTTCAACATCAGCAATGTCCTCGGGTTGCTCATTGGTAATGAAAACAGCTCGGACAGTGCCCCTTTAAAACTCCCAAAAATGTCCAATACAACTAATGTTAGAATTTTCAGGACCAAGCAAACATGGTGGTGAAGATGTGGACGAAATATTCTGCACTTTTATTTCTGTATTCTGCTTTTCTTAAGATAAGTTTCTGTTTTTGAAGCCTACCACATTAGAATGATCAGCTCTCACATCATATCACATCATTTCTGATGAGAGTAGATTTAGAAGCTGCAGACTTTGCTGCTGGAAGTGAAACTTTCTTGGGCTGTCTGACCTTATCAGCTACAGAATTCTACCCAGTGTTGTTTTACTCCTGCAGTATTATCGCCCTGTTAGTCACATGCTCCAAGCTAAATGCTTTCCAGATGTTTTTCCTATCCTGACATACCACCCCCCCCCCCCCACACACACAGACACACACTCAAACATTATGTTTCTTTCTTTAAAGCAAGCTTCACATTAAGCCCTTTCAGTGTATCCATGTGCATTTCATACTTTGAACATTGAATTTCTTTTTGGCAGTTGTCTCCTCTCCAAAAAAACCTATTGGTGAGAAACCTAATTTTTAAATGTCTAAAGTTTTATATTATAAGCTAGGAGCAGCGAAATACCAGGCAGCATATTATATATTCTTTATTTGTTTAATAGGACATTTCACTTCAATAAATGCTGACAGGCTGCAATATAGGCGATAATACGCAACTCCCTCACCTCGAATAAACTCCATAACCCCAGGCAGCTCTGTTTAATCAGGGTAAGCAGAGACTGTGTTTTTTTATAGTACACACTGGAGACTAGCAGCAGTTCTCACTGTTTCTATCACATAATCCTATTGCTGGATGTTATCAATGTTTTTGGTAATCCTCCAGAACAGTGTATTTGATTTTAATGAAGATTGAATCACACATAGCACCTTGACTGGTAAACAATGAAGCTTAGACTTTAATAGGTCCAGGTTCTTAGGTCCTCAAAGAAATGTAATAGTGATGTACAACAAGGCTTTAAGCTCCTGAAAGTACCACTGGTTATTTTTTAAAAACTATTTTCTTAATCTGTTGGTTTAACAAACAAAACTGTAGCAGTTTTCTGCACTACTATACTGTGTATGAAAGAGGAGAAAGTCATTACCAGGACTGGGAACAATCGTTCCAAGATACAAAATCAGTCTTATAAGTATATGAGTAAATTTGCATTTCTCGCAGGACCTTTACCCTACATTGTGCTTCACTCACAATTGTATTATATTTCACCACATGTTTTTCATATTTTTTTCTATGCATTTCTCCCCCATATCCATGTGGTTCCAGCCCACAGACATCTGCTCAGAGTGTGTTAGTATTACTGTTCACTCAGCTCCCCGAGAAGTGTGAGGAGTACTTGTGGAGGAGAAAATTCTCCTCACTGCCATTTGATACCAACTGGAATTATGCTATTTGATACCCCTTTGTTTCCTTACCCACCAATGGTCCAGTCTGAATCAAGGATGTCAATTTGAGAGTGTTGCTTTCCACTGATGAGTAGTGCACTTGTGGGTGTCATCGAGGAAGGCAGAGGATTGGCTTTCTCAGCATCTTTCTCCCCTTTCTTCCTCTTTGTTTTTGCTGTGGTTTGTTCCACAGATACCGGTCACACTCTAGAACCTTGAACTAGTGGTTATTTTTTATATAGTTATTGAGTTTTTATTGTGAGTGCTGATCAGCTATTCAACCACAGGCCATTACAGCCAACCTAGCTTCTGTCCTCACCTCAGATCCAGTATTTACATCTCCATCCTTGGTCACTGGATAGAGACCAGGATAAGAGAATCACAATCGAGCTGGTAGGGGGTTAGGAGGTCACAGAGGTAGGGGGGAACAAGGCTACGGAGGGCTTTGAGGGTAAGGACCATTCTATTCTATCTATTCAATCTATTCTAATCTATCTATTCTAAAATGCTTTTACATTTCTACCCAGATCAACTGTGGTTTGGCTCACTCCAGATATCGGCTTGAGGCTTGCACCATTTACACTGGTCCAGACCTCAAACCTCAGAAACATAGGTTGTAAACGCTCAAAAGGACGACAGTGCGATGGTTTCATGTCTCACATTGTTAATCCATCCCAGTAGCAGAAAAACGGAGCCCGCTGAGCGGAGGGAGGGGCAGGATGTTAGGGGGTTTCGAGGTCGCAGAAGTAGTGGGGAGCAAGGCCATAGAGGGCTTTGAAGGTGAGGACCAGGATCTTGAACTGTATTCTCTGTGTAATGGGAAGCCAGTGGAGTTGGGCGAGGAGGGGGGTGATAGGGTCACGGAGCCTGGTGCGGGAGAGGGCATGGGCTGCAGAGTTCTGGATGATCTGCAGCCTATGGAGAGAGGAGTTGGGGAGGCCGACAAGCAAGGAGTTTGCATAGTCAACCCTCGATGTAATGAATGCGTGTATGAGGGTTTCAGCAGCCTGCGGTGTGAGACTGTGGTGGAATCGGGCGATGTTGCAAAGGTGGGGGAAGGCAGAGGGGGTCATGGCACAATGTGGGGTAGAAAGGATAGTTGAGGGTCAAACAAGTCACCAAGGTTCTGGACTGGCTCAGTAAGGTGGAGTGTCATCCTTGGATGGTGATGCCATCAGTGCCTGAGGTGTGGAGGCGCTGACGGGAGCCAATCAGGAGAGCCTCGGTCTTGTTGACGTTCAACTGAAGAAAGTTAGCTCTCATCCAGGACTTGATGTCCGACAGACATTCTGTCAGGACAGCAGTGGTCCTGGAGTTGAGGGTGGAGGCAGAAAGATAGAGAGTTGAGTGTCATCCGCATATATGTCATGTCTGCGGATGATGTCACCAAGGGGGAGCATATAGATATTGAAGAGGAGGGGACCAAGGACAGAGCCCTGAAGAACGCAGTACGAGATGGTGCGGGGCCTAGAGGAGAACCCGTTTGTGAAGATGAAGTGGAGGAGGTGTGAGGTACGATCTGAACCAGTTAAGGACAGAGCCATGAAGGTTGAGGTGAGAGGAGAGACGGTGGATGAGGATAGAGTGGTCAACAGTGTGGAAGGCAGCAGAGAGATCAAGGAGGACGAGGAAGCAGAGGGAGCCCTGGTCACAGATAAACAGAATGTCATTTGTCACTTTGACCAGAGCTGTTTCTGTGCTGTGGGCGACATGGAAACCGGATTGGAGGGATTCGTGAAGGGAGTGGTGGGAGAGGAAGGAGCGAAGCTGGGAAGCAACAACTCATTCCAGGACCTTGGAGAGGAAAGGGAGGTTGGAGATTGGGCGGTAGTTTGAGAACCACTGCACCAGATAGAAGATTTAATAGCACTGTTGCAAAATACAGTGTCATCAAAATGATCAGTTCATCATTAAAAAATTATGTAAGAATAATAATGTATTATAATAATCCTTGCGATTAATTTAGCGCCTTTCATTTCCGGAAGATCTCTCGAAGCATCTTACATCAGTTTGCTGTAAAGTGTAGTGACTATTTTGCAGGCAGATATGAAGTCCATATATGTAAATATGTTGCCGTATATTATCAGGGAAGTGAATTCAGAAGCAAACATGTTGGGCCTCTGAGTTTTTTCTCATTCCTTCTCCTCTTTGTATCTATTTATGTGACCCATCATCTTGAACCCATCCTTTGTAGCTGGTGTTGTGTATTGTAGACCCCTTACAGGGTGGGATTTTATGGAACCTCTTTACCATCCCCCACGAGTGTGTTATACTGGGGCTGCATTGTCATATGCATTTCTATACTGTGCATAACAAGAACATGAATAACACATCGGATACTGTACTTATGAAAAACAAATGTATGTTCAGCTTAGGACCAGCATAGATTCTAAGAAGTTTGTATTAATAAAAATAATAATACTTACATTTGTTATACTGCCTTTCTCATTGGGAGGACATCTCAAAGCACTTCACGGTATATATTGTAAAGTGCAATGACTGTCTTTTGTGGGTGAATGCATTTGGATTAGTTGCATTTAAACGCTTTCAAACATCCTCTTGATGTGAACAGCGCTACAAAAAAAGGAAATTGTATTGTTTTATGCTGTATTATGCGTTATTATAGAATCAACATCATTTTAAATCCAGTCGCTGAGTCTGTTAAACTAAAGAATTTTAGCAAAATAAACCTAATGCAAGTGCTTCCCAATAATTATTTTTTCTCTCCCCCCTTTTTCAGAGAAGACTTTGAAGAATTATTTGATATCATCATCACAAACGCTTTGAAGCCAGGTTTCTTCTCACAACTGCCACAGCAAAGGCCTTTTCGAACTCTTGGTAAGTCAGACACCCCTGGAAATGAATTGAATACTTTTAGCAGTGTGCATGAAATGTGACAGACAAGGCACTGACTTCAACTTGATGCTGTTAACTTAAGAGGAATTTTCTTTTTTTTTCTTTACTCAAAGGGTAATTGGTGACTGAAGCAGGTTGCCAGGAAAAGTGGTAGAGGTCAAGACACACTGGACTCATTTAAAAACAGCTTAATGCTGTGATGGGGCTTGGTAGGGTGGATGGATGAGAATGGATGAGTCGAAGGGCCTTCTTCATCCAAACTAATCTCTCCAAATATAGATGGGATGCACGGAACCCTCAGTTTGGTTTGGATACCCTTAAGCATGGTGATGGGTTCCTACATGTGTCAGACATCCGGTTGATCAAAGAAAAATAATGAATGGTCGGACAGATGTTAAAAAAGCTAATGGTGGGTCAGGCAAGGCGGGGAACGTGAAGCAGGCTGGAGCCTGTTGAGTGGAGTGAGCGAGCAGGATGGTAAGGAGTTCGCAGAGGTAGGGGGGAACAAGACCATGGAGGGCTTTGAAGGTGAGGACCAGGATCTTGAACTGTATTCTCTGTATGATGGGAAGCTAGTGGAGTCAGTCGAGGATGGAGGTGATAGGGTCACGGAGCCTATCACCAAACTATTCATCTATTCATCAATCTCCTGATCTCCACTGTACACCCCTGGCCTCAATCCCTCCAGAGGCATCATTACTAATAGCCCCTCCCCCATTCCACTTAACAGAAATCATGTGTTCAGTGGTCAGATATGCCCTAGTTATTCTGTGACCCGAATACCAATCTCAAGCAGACATTTATCCAGTTGTTTCTAAAGGAGTTAACCGACAGATTACCAACATTTTTTGTTGGGTATCTGTTGCATGTATCCACTGTTCTATTGAGAAAAATAAGTCTTCTAATCTAGTCCCACTTTAATATGAAACGTATTCCTTCTAGTTCTGCTCTCACAGTCTAAAGTCAAAATAGCTGCTTACGTGTAGTGGAAAAAGCAATATGGCATTTTGTTGAAAGCTTCATCCTTTATAAATTGCTTTACTGATTGAAAATACCATCAGGCCAGTAACTGCAAGACAGATAGGCTTAAAAAACTGCAAACATTAATTTATACAATGTCACATTGTCCCGCAGTTTACTAGTCACCACATTGCTGTTTGAATACTTATAGACGCCATACAAATTCTGTGGAGACAATTCAGAACCAGGAATAATGTGGAGAAATTTGTTACCTTTTCATACAAAGTAACTGTTCTCCCTCATTGACTCAGACCCAGTGGAAACAAATTGTTACTCTCAGTATGTTTAAGATTAAGATTATTTTCCTGTGGCTGTGGTAGTAGGATTCAGGGATGGCTAACATTGAATTCCACTAAGCCCAAGCCAATGTGATTTATCTCCTGCTGGCTGGCTCTTCTCATGGGATGGCTGAAGCTCAGAAGTGGTGGTGTGGGAGGATTAGATATATCTATTTAATTACTTTATATAAAGGAGATTTGACATGTGGAACAGTTTGCCCCAGGGATAGTGAGCAGTTTCCAGAGGAATTAGATAATATTTTGGCACCCAAAGAGAAATGTAAAAAAAGGAAAATACGCTATTTTAAAATGGGATAAGCCGGGTGGACTGATATGATTTTTTCTCATCGTACACATTACTATGTTTGTATCCAAACAAACAACAACAACAAGATTACATTTGTATAGCGACTTTCACGTCGGAAGGATGTCCCAAGGCGCTGGACAGAGTACAGCATTTCAGACCCGAGCTGGGGTCAGGGGGGAGAAGAGAGGGGAGGGGAAGGGGGTTGACCAATGGCCTGGTCGAAGAGAAGGGTTTTGAGGCGGCACTTCAAGGAGGCTAAGGAGAGGGTGAGGTGGAGTGATTGGGGGATGGAGTTCCAGAGGTTGGGGGCAGAGTGGCTGAAGGTTCTCCCGCCAATGGTGGGGCGGGTGGGTCGGGGGATGTGGAGCAGGCCGGAGCCGGCTGAGCGGAGGGAACGGGCGGGTTAGTAGAGGGTTAGGAGGTCACAGAGGTAGGGTGGGGCAAGACCATTGAGGGCTTTGTAGGTGAGGACCAGGATTTTGAACTGGATCCTCTGAAGGATAGGGAGCCAATGGACTCGGGCGAGAATGGGGAAGATGGGGTCACGGAGTTTGGTGCGGGAGAGGACATGGGCTGCAGACTTCTGGATTATCTGCAGTCTGTGGAGGGAGGAGTTGGGAAGGCTGACAAAATCTAATTAGCAAGTGTCAGATTGATATATCACTCGCAATCTCTGCGCAGAAACCCAAAGTGACCTGGGGTGATTATCTGATACCAATCGCCTACCTGGCCAGGCGACACAATTTAATAATTGGTATATTTGGAACTTAAGAACAACAACAACTTGGATTTATATAGTGCCCTCCATGCCAGGATGTGTCTTAGAGCGCTTCACAATAACGGATCCCAGAGCCGAGCCAGGGGGAGGGGGAAGAATGTGACCAAAAACGTGGTCGAAAAGAAAGGTCTATAGTCGAGACCTGAAAATAGGAAGAGAGGGAGTGAGGAAGGGAGTTCCAAAGCCTCGGGGCGTAGTGGCTGAAGGCACGGCTGCCAATGGTGGAGCGGAGGATTCAGGGGACAAGGAGGAGGCCAGACCCGGTGGAACGAAGGCAACAGGCACTGTTGTGAGGCGAGAGGAGGTCAGAGAGGTAGGGGGGTGCAGAGGATTGGAGGGATTTGATGACAAGAGTGAGGAGCTTGAAATCGATCCTCTCTGGGACAGGCAGCCAGTGCAGTCTGACAAGAACTGGGGTAATCGGAGAGCGGAGTTTGGTGCGGGTAAGAATACGGGCGGCAGAATTCTGGATGACCTGAATGGTAATGGAGGAGAGACCGGCGAGGAGGGCATTTGAATAGTTCAGCCGAGAGGTGACAAAGACATGGACCAGGGTTTTGGCGGCTTTTGGAGTGAGATATTGGTGGAGACGGACGATGCGTCGGAGGTGGAAGAAAGCAGTGCTAGTGAGGGAAGAGATACAATAAAGCTAAATTTCAGCAAGTCATCCTACAACACATCATTACCTGCAAGGCTTGTGAGTTACGAATTAATTTTCCACTCTCACAAAACTCGATTCCATACAGACTATCCAAATCATCTTTCTCTGCCCAAAAACTAAGTTATTGGAACATGAGGACAGCAACATTATTAGCGACTTTGGAATAATCTCCTCTCCCAGTACCTAATTCATTTGATTGCACTTGTTTTGACCTGACACAGCCTTTTTCTTGAAGGATGCAGTTAGGATTGTGCCCCAAATGGAACCTTGTCCCCAATCCCTTTAAGGACATACAGAGATAATAATAATAACCCTTTCATTTGATATAACACCTTATCATCGAGATGTCTCAAAGGGCTTCACAGGATATACTGTAAAGTGTAGTGACTGTGTGTATTTTGTAGCCAAACATAGCAGCTAATTTGTGCACAGCATTGTCTCACAAACAAGCATGGAGTAAATAACAAATTTTATTTGGGGGATTGTTGATTGGAAAAATGCCCTTCTCTTTTTGAGTAGTGCCCTGGGATCTTTATCGGCCACTTGACCAGGTGGATAGGATCTGGGTTTAACGTCTCATCCAAAGTCTGTTACCTCCAATATTGCAGCCCACCCCCAAAAGTGCATTGGAATATCAGCATAGACTACATTAGTTGCAAGTCCTGAAGTTGGGTTGAACCCACAAACACAGAGATGAAAATGAGATGAAAAACGACTGTTGAGCCAATGTTTCTTGCTCAATTATTTAAGTCCATTTTCTTCCCTTGTCCCTTTGACTTGGTGTCGGCCCCCAAGTTTACTCCCTATTGCTTCAGGAATTGTCCAGTCCATAATATCAGTGAGATGGTTGTTTTCAGATTGTACTATGCACTTAACTAAAATTACCCTGTTGTTAAGCACTTAAGTGATCTTGTTCTTCCATGGAACACAAATGAAGGAAAATGTTAGCTTTTACCAAGCTATGTACTTACATGTTGTGTACATTTAAAGAGGCATGGTGCCAGCAGTAACATAGCAATAGCAAAAAGGGAAAGCTGCCAATGGAGAGAGCCAACAACATTACATTGGATCCATAGGGATCATGAAGTCAGCTTTGTCTTTATTGCCTCCCAGACTACCATTAGAGAATGAGTCAACATAGAGGTATGACCAGAATGTGTGTAATAGTGTGCATTTCTAGCCTTAGCCCCTGCAGCGTTCTTCTGTCAGAGAGAGGAGGTTGTGAGGGGTGCCGCTTGCTTCATGTCAGACCTTGAGTTGACCTTGTTGCATCCTAATATTTATGAAGCTCTGAAGGCCATGTTGGCATACTTCTGCAGTTCGTCATCTGATAGATACATGGTAGACTGAGTCTCAATCCTAAGCCTCTAATGTTCAGATCTTTCCACTGCATCATTCTCATGTCAACCAGCATTGGGTGAAGGTGCTGCATTGGAGCCAGTTAATGTAGGTAAGATGTCAAATGGAATCATAGAATCATGAAATGTCACACCATAGAAACAGGCCTTTGAGCCATCAAGTTTGTGCTACTTTGCACCTTACCCTCTAAAATTCATTTCTTTAACTAGAATTTCTGGACTCTGGTTCAACAACAGTACATCAGAGAACGTAAACTCAGAGCAAAACACTTTAGATACCCTAAAACAGCAGGACAAGGGATACAGCTCCCCACGGAATACAGAGAATAAGCAGCGATATACAGAGTGTGACTAAGTGTGGGAGTGTGAAGGAAGAGAGAGAAGGGAAAGAGCGAGTGAGTGTGAGACACAATGTGCAAGACACAGAGAGAGGGAAAGATTCACAGAGAAAGACTGAGGAGAGAGAGACGGACGGATGATGAAGCAAACCCATAGGGAGACAAGATAGACATAGAGAGGGGAACAGAGATGGGAAGTGATGATGAGAAACTTTTCCGGCAACAGCACTCTCCTGTAGACA